TATTGGATACGACTTAAGATCCCAATATTTTCTTTCAGTTTAAATTAAATTATACAGAATAATTTTTGACGCTCAGATTAAAATACATTAATGATTTTAAAAAATAACAACTGATGAAAAACGAAACTATCCGATCATGATAATAATAAAGATCAGATTTTGCGTCAAGTACCTTAAATCTGAAAACATCCTCCATCTTAGCAGTCTTGCCGTCGCTGACGCAACTATGAAAAAACGAGGGTGCCACGGACACCCCCAGGGCCTCGCTGGTCATCCCCGTGTGCGCTCGCTCGCAATTTACTGCTACTATCCTGAATGTTCCGAACAGCAGTACCAGTAACCGTTGTGTGTATATCGGCATAGAGGTAATTAATCTGCGCAGCGTAATTTCCTTTGTAAAGCCAACTAGAGAATAATGTAGTGAGAGTGTACCGCAAGAAATCATCACCTATGTATCTGGTCCCGTTGTTGTTCTACACTATCTAGCTGGATTATGGTAAACAGTTGTTGCTCCGCCTCTTTACCGAATATTCCGCCGGGTATCTTGCGCAAAAATTTTTTTAGAACACTGGCTATCGTGTAATCGCTGAAATTGTCCATATTGACCAGATGTCCGGTTTGCAGGAAGTGTACCAGTTTCTTCATGTTACCCTGGTGGCCAGGTGCCCGAAAGATATCTTTTTTGAGTGGAGCTTCCTTGTTCAGTTTCAATATAAGAACCTGGAATAAGGGAACACTATTATTGTAATTGTATATATTTGTATATTCACATATAAATATTATATACTAAACACCAAGATCCACTTTAACCGAAAATGGCTTTCTTCTTCTCTCTCATTTAAGTCTCTATTTAAACTATTATTATTACTTTATAATTATTCTAGGAGTTTAATCTTCCGTCTACAATTTAGATTTTTTTTCAACCCAAGTTTTTTTACTGCTCTTAGCTTTCAAAAAATGTGAAAAAATACAGGATTACTTTTCAACATTTCTATTATCAAATGAATTTCTTAATTATTTTAGAGAGATCTCAGCCCTCCTTTATTTCGCAGAAAGAGTGAAATTTCGTTAGTGCGAAAAAAATAAATTCATCATAGATCTATTAAATCATGAAAAAAATAAAAATATATAAACCTCTTTTCTCGCGCTACATATAATTATTATCAATTATTACTAATTTTAAATTAAATAAAGATGCTTTGCAAATGGAAGATTAAAATATAAGTTCCATAATCGTTATTTACCAGTAACGGGCCAGGAATATCATTTTTGCACACTTCGTTCAGGGGTGCACCAAACTTGACCCTGCAAAAAGAAAGCAGAAGTTTGCAAACGTTATTTTCTCAGCTAATGGGAATACTGTCGGATTCGATTCCGACGAAACAATAGCGGGAAAATCGCATGAACTCTGGATGTAGTATACTAAAGCGAGTTTCTCTAAAATAGGCATGGGAAAATATGTATGTTGAATTAGAGGCGTCACGGCGCGTTTCATTGTTGTTACACAAAATTGCGCTACTAAATACCGCTACTCTGCATTCGCTAAACAGCTTTCAACGAGTCAGCACTATTAACACGATGGATCTTCGAGTTGTCAATGCATATTAGTAACATACGATACACGTAATCTTCGCAAACTCTGCAATTACTTACAAATGCTACCACGCATCTCCTCAGAGCATCAAACATATAACGCAGAGTGCTGATAATATTTGCCCGACATATCGTTAAATATCAATTATCACATCTGTGAAAAAATTTAAAAGATCTTTATTACTCCGATGAATTTCCTTATCGACATGCTGTCTCACTATGCTTTATCTATATACTAAGTTAATGATCATCTACAAGAAATTGATTGTCCAACTGTATAAACAATTGATTTAAATTCACGATTATGTAAATACAGTTTATAATCAGATGATTTATGCTTTCTACTCATTGTTAAAAATACTGCAATCAAGATTTTTATAAAATATATATTCGAATTTATTCCTCTTTTTAATTAAATATACATAATTATAATAAATTCGTATTATTTTTTTCAATCATGTGTTACTGTAAATATTATATCACAATTAATAAATTATATAATAACCTCTTTCCTTTTTCCCAAAAAAATTTATGATTTAAATTAACAATTATATAAATATATTTTTTATAATCAGACGAGTCACACCTTCTACTCTTTATCAAAGATATACCATTGTAACCAAGATTTCCTGAAAATTTATATTCAATAAGAAACTGGTATGCATTATTTTTTTAAATAATTTATTGTTGTACTTATCTATTATGTTACAGCCAATAAATTATATATTTACCTTTTTCCTCACGACTTTCCAAAAAAATACAAATCTATACAAAGTTTCTATACACGTGTGTATATAAATACAAGAAAAAAGCAGTTAATTTTTAAATAACACTTTCTAAAGATAAAATATTGATTAACAAGCGACCGAAGGGTGACCATATTATTTTCGTAAAGCGATATACTAACTTTTCCAGGCGTCTCGGGTGCGGAGGCTCTGAGGAGGGATGTCCGCAGCTGGTTACAACATTTCCTAACGTAGCGGCGCGTCGATGCATTCTCTCTGTCCAGCTGCTCATTGTACAAAATCTAATGGCAATGACATGCGAGCACTATTCACTCTGGGCTCTTCGCTTCTTCCAGCAAAAGAAACGTCACGCTCTCCTCCCAAACTCCAATCTTCCGTGCTTCCTAATTCAGTCGCTGAAAGCACATTGTAAGATTTTTGCTCGTCCTGCTCTTAGTTTCTAATTTCTGATGCAAATATGTGTCACGTTATGACTTAGAAATTCATTCCTATTGTATATATCCCTATATATATTGTATATCGATCACAAAGATAACTTTGAATTCGACCTCTTCACTCTGATTATTTATTATCATCGATATTCTCGAAACTTCCTAACTCAGGAATATTCATGCAATTTTATCAACGTTAATACACAAGTTTACTTAAACAAAACAGCTTTGTATAATAAATAAAGTTTCACTAATGAATAAAGGAGATTCCATTAAATAGAGAAATATAATTACATTATTTCTGTATTGTCTGTCGTGAAAAAAGTATTGATACAACTAAGAAGTCAGTCTGATAAAATATCATTTGATTAAATTTGAAAAAAATAGAATCTCAAGAATCTTAGATACAGATCGAAATGTGTGATTTCGAAAATTTGATTGATCTTAGCAACTAGTGATTCATCAATGTGGGAATTATCGGGAAGAAATAAAACTATAAAAGCAAGAAAGAAGAGAACGAATGTCCACTTCTATCCATATAAATTAACTTGAATCTCGGATAACTTTAAATTTACTTATCTTTTTCTAGTTCTGAGAATTAGAAAAAGATAAAGAGTAAGCTAAACCCAGCTTAAAGTTAATGTACATTTATAAAAATAAACATAACGTTTATTGTTAGAACTCGAGAAAAAGAAAAAGTTAAACCAAGTTAAAGTTATCTTAAAGTTAACATAGATTTACTTTAATATCAGTATAACTTATTTGTTATCTTTTCCTAGTTCTGAGAATCAGAAAGACATATGTCCATTTCTATATCAATATAGAGTATCTTTAATCTCAGTTTAATTTCCTGTTTATCTTGTACTGATTCTTAGAATTAGAAAAGATAAAGAATAAAGTAATTGAGATTGAAGTTAATCTACATTTACAGAAACAAACATATTTCTAAACAAAATAAAAACAAAAAGTAAGTCAATGTTGGTCCAACTAATTTTTTTCTAGTTCTAAAATTTAGAAAAAGAAAAAAAGTAAGTTAAACCCAGAATGAAAATTTATAGCGTTTTCGGCCCGATCGGGTTTGCACCAACCTGGGTTGGATTAATCTTTCCTATTGGTTGATGTCACACGCTCTACCAATAGGAGAGCGCAAAACGCCATTAAACAAAATAAAAACAAAAAGTAAGTCAATGTTGGTCCAACTAATTTTTTTCTAGTTCTAAAATTTAGAAAAAGAAGAAAAGTAAGTTAAACCCAGAATGAAAATCTACATTGGCAGAAATGGACATTCATCTTTTTTTAATGTCTATTTCTACCAATGTATAGATCAACTATAATCTTGGTTTAACTTCTTTTCTAAGTTTTAAAAATTAGAAGAGAATAAAAAGTAAATTAAACCAAGAATTAAAGTTGCTCTACATAGATCGATAGAAATGGACACAATTCTTGTAGCTGGAAAAAGATAAAGTTAGTCGAACAGAGATTAAATTAAAATTAAATTACATTGATAGAAACAGACATAATCCACAAAACTAGAAAAAGGCAACAAGTTAAAGTGACATTAAAATTAATCAATACAGAAGAAAGACAAGTATAAAAGATGAGAGAATGCAATCCCGACAATTGTGTCGACAGTGTGAGAGCCGGGAAGGGAAGGGAAGGGAAGGGAAGGGAAGGTAAGGTAAGGGAAGGTACGAGAAGGGAAGGTACGGGAAGGGAAGGGAAAGGGAGAGGAAGAGGAAATCTCACCGAGGCACGGGGCGACGACGGTGAAATCCCCTCGCCGTCGGACGTCGAGTCGAGCGAGCGCGAGCGTTTCGCGGTCAGGTTAACTTAACGAGGCGCGGAGACGAGGCGG